TCTCAGGGAGGCACCGCTGCGGATGCCGCCCGAGGAGAAGTCTGGAAGGCCTGATGAAGGCAGGCGTGGAGGCGTATGCTGCCAACTCCTCCGGTCTCGGCTCGGTTCTGAGCCAGTCCCGGAACGGAGCAAGCCGCAGTATGACTACGGCTCGAGCCTTTCAGAACTAAGGCCAGAAGGAAGAGAACTCAGACGCGTGGCTGTAGCCGTAGCAGGTGCTTCCGATGCACCTGCGGGCGCGACTGGGCTCGATGCAAGGCACACAACCAAGCGCGCGAGGCCGGGGGGACAGGGAAGAGCTTGAGGCAGCTCACGCGGGAAGCCAAATCGCGCGTCAGGGCCGCAGAACATCGCACGACCGTCGCAGGCCCTCGTGAAGCCAATCTGCGGCTGGATCGTGCAAGAGAGCGCTGGGGACCTGACGAAGCTCTAGACGAGTTGAGGTACGTCTGGGGTTCATGGGTCTGCTTCTGGCGCGCCACGGTCAACAGCCCAGATGCGTGGGTTTGCAAAGGGTATTCGCACGGAGAGAAATGCGGAGGAGAGTTCAAGGAGTCCAGAGAGTGGGCCCCGGCCAAAGAATCTCTGCGAGCGGCCTATGAAGCAAAACGGAAAAGGAAGGAGGAAAAGAAGGAGGAGCGCCGCACGCTTCTGGACAAGGCATTGTCCTTCGCGAAGTGGGAGTGTTCGAGGTGCCGCTCGGCGAGCATAGTAAATCGGAATAAGTGCTATGTTTGCTCGCAGCAGCGGCCCAAACGTGCGCGCCGCGATGATGATAGCTTGGGGACGGACAGCAGCAGAGAGAGAAGGGTTGCTGCCAGCCTCGAGGGCATCCCAGAAAGGAGAAGGCGCAAGACAAGGGGGCGAAACATCGGAAGCGCACGAGGAAGGTGTGCCGGTGTGGGAGGACTCACACCAACCAGTCCAAACGGGCTGAGGGTCCTCGCCGATGTTCTCCGAAGCTGAGAGGTCTCGCGGGCGGGATGGGAACGGCCCTGGCTGGATGAAGATGCTGGCCTTCTTGGCTGCAGTTCCGCTGGTCTGGCGGACTGAGCAGGGAGCAGAGGAAGTTGTTGACGCGCTCACGTCCTATGCCCAGAGGACAATAGCCGAGGTTGAGGAAGTCTCGGTAGAGATTGTCCAGGTGACAGGAAGGATTGTCGTGTCAGCAGTCCTAGCCACAGGGATGGGGACCCTGTGGTGGCTCGGCAACCTTGTCCGGAACAAGCCGGTCAAGTCGAGCCATGGCAACTCCCTGCCAGCCCGTCTCTTGGAGCTCAAGCCTTCGAAGAATTCGAAGTCAGCCGGAGGTTCGACTTGGGAGGTCACTGGAGGAAGAGGTGTCCACCGAGTCTGGATCGGAGAGGATGGCCAAGGGGCATGCGCTTGCAGGGCGTACCTCGCCAGTGGGGTTTGCGGCCACATTGACTCGGCCGTAGGAGAAGCTCGTAGACTGAAGGTGTATCCTGAGAAAGAGGTCAGGTTCGCCAGAAGCTCCGCGGCAGAAAAGGGTGCGGCCTCACTACTGGCGTTGGGCGCGGAAAATGCGACCCGTGAAAAGAGGGTATGTTTTGAAGGGGTGGCGAAGAAGGCTAGGGAACTGTGGTGGAAGCCGTCGTCGCCTCCGGGTTCGCAGGGGTCAGAACCTAGAGGTTCATTTGCACTTAAAAACGGAGGACGTAGGACGTATGGCCATATGACCTCCAAAAAGGCCTGTGACCATGAAATCGCCGTATGACCTCGAAACAGGCCTCCAGCGATAAAATTGCCTTACGCTGGCTACCTCCACAGCGATGCTTATAAAAATGCGTTGCGAGGAGGCAGCGAGAAAAGCGCCCGCTACAGCCCACCAGATTCTGCGAGCCTGCGCAGTCAAAATGCACGTCGAAGATCTCGAGAGGCACGAATGTATCGTAAATGGCAACTATAGTTGCACTTCATGCAAATGGGTCCCGAAAAATGCAAGCGAAGGGGAGAATGCCTCAACTGCGTGCGATATCTGAGGAATGTCTATTTCATTCAATGGCGCAACGCTACGTAGCTGAAATATTGAGATGTGGTCTTTAATTTAGCCACACACAAGTTTGATTGACACGCCAAATCTGGGTGGATAGGCGGGTGGAGCGGGGTCCGCGCAAGAGAGAGACGGTTAGATGTATATTCCGGCGAGGCTTGCGCTAGATTTCACTCATAGTTTCATGAAACTCAAGAAAACGTTTGCCGTGCGAAAGCGTGAAAAGGCCGTGAAAAAACGCTCTTGGCCATGAAAACGGCGTGCGAAACGTGAAAATGAAAAATCGCAATCTGCATTTATCCGGCTTTTTTTAATGAATCGTTTAGAGTTTATTTGTGATTTCGCTTCCATAGAAGCCTTTTACTGTGTGGCGTAGAAGCCCAATAGGTGGTGGCAGCGCTGCCGTTTCATCAAAAATGTGACCCGAACATGAAAAACGTCACGTGTGCCATGGTTTGACTGGAGGTTCTGTATTTCATGATCTTTGCAACCCAAGCCCTAGCTGGAAGGAAAAAGCGCGATGAATTGCAGCTGGCTATACAGTTGGCAGCGGGGCTTCGAGAAAATCAGCTGGTGTACACATGATTGCACGGCAAAGAGAAAAAACGAGCTAACAGTGTCAAAGCCATTGGCGTGAACCGCGTGAAAATCCAGGATGGCCGCGCAAACCGTGACCGTCCAGGCCGTGGCCGTGTAACCGTGCAAATCCATGGGCTGTGGCGTGTAAACCGTGTAAACCGTGCAAATCAAGGCTGTGGCCGTGAAAACAGGGTATGTCCTTGATTTTTTGAAAACTAGGTCGGGACGGCTATGTCCTTCTAAAAGGTGGTCGGATGAACCCCTAGGAATCTGGTTGACTCATCAGACGGAGTTGAAACCAGATGATCGGGTGGCAAAGGAAGCACCCGCTGGTTTGAATGTCCAGCTGGGGTTGGAAAACGCTCTCGCCGCCCAAAACCTGCAGATCGAGCACGTCCGAAACAAGGAGGCGCAGGTTCGAGCTGTTGAGCTTTTGCAGCAGAACCCTAAAGCGTCCGTACGAGTTACGGCGTACAGTTTCGACCAACCAGATATGGTTGAGATGATCAAGGGTCATCAGGGGTTCGTGCGAATCGTGGACGCTGGGATGACACTCGAGTCTCGTACGAAGATGCAACTTCAGAGCCTGATGATGCTCCGGAATGCCGGACATAGAATCCGGGTATGTCGGGGAAGATCCCTGAGCAAGGCCTATGCAGAGGACAGCAGGTCGACAACGGCAGGGTCCGGCTTGAAAGGGATCCAGCACTTGAAAACACGTGCTTTGTGGAAAATGGGAAGGTTGGGCACTTGGTGGTCGGGAGCTGTAACTGGACTACAAGCTCAAAGGGCCAACAGGGAATCCGGAGTGGTGATCACCGCTGATGTGGATCACCAAGTGTTCCAAGCCTACAAGGACGGAGCACTTCGAAGAGGATTGGGAAGAGAGCCAGGCGTTCGATGAGGCCGACTTCCAGTCCTCGCAGGGTCAAAGGCCGAAAGCAGGCAGGAAGCAGAGTTCGGCTTCCGCGGACTGACTTGTCCGGCTGGCCCTGCGGGTAGCGTGATCCGGTTCGGACCGCTGCCGCGGGCTACGCAAGCAGCTTGAAGAGCCGCAGCCACTGTAGTTCCTCCGGCTGAGGGGCGAATGTGGATAGAAGCGTGCGTAGCCCTCTTGTAGTTGCATGTGTTTCACTTTTGGCTCAAGCCGCTGAATGGTTTGAGGTTGAGCTCAGCAGGTAGCTGTAGGTAGCCGCTTAGCTCTGTTTCACCGCGTGAACGACCGCTCGGATTGAACTCGTGAGCGATAAACAGCTGCGCGTGCGCATTTGACCGTCGACGCGGTCAAGACCGTTCGCGTCGCTCACAAGCCCCTAGTAGCTTCTTGTTCCTAGTAGTAAGGCCAGGAGCCCCCAGTAGCTTTATTGTTCCTAATAGCTTCTTGCTACTAGTAGCGATGCCAGGAGCCCCTAGTAGCTTCTTGTTCCTAGCAGTAAGGCCAGGACCCCCTAGTAGCTTTATTGTGCCTAATAGCTTCTTGCTACTAGCAGCGATGCCAGGAGCTCCTAGTAGCTTCTTGTTCCTAGTAGTAAGGTCAGGAGCCCCTAGTAGCTTTATTGCTCCTAATAGCTTCTTCCTACCAGTAGCGATGCCAGGAGCCCCTAGCTTCTTATTCCTAGTAGTAAGGCCAGGAGCCCCTAGTAGCTTTATTGCTCCTAATAGCTTCTTGCTACTAGTAGCGATGCCAGGAGCCCCTAGTAGCTTCTTGTTCTTAGTAGTAAGGCCAGGAGCCCCTAGTAGCTTTATTGTTCCTAATAGCTTCTTGCTACTAGTAGCGATGCCAGGAGCTCCTAGTAGTAGGGCCAGGAGCCCCTAGTAGCTTTATTGTTCCTAATAGCTTCTTGCTACCAGTAGCGATGCCAGGAGCCCCTAGCTTCTTGCTACCAGTAGCGTAAGGCCAAGAGCCCCTAGTAGCTTTATTGTTCCTAATAGCTTCTTGCTACCAGTAGCGATGCCAGGAGCCCCTAGTAGCTTCTTGTTCCTAGTAGTAAGGCCAGGAGCCCCTAGTAGCTTTATTGTTCCTAATAGCTTCTTGCTACTAGCAGCGATGCGAGGAGCCCCTAGTAGCTTCTTGTTCCTAGTAGTAAGGCCAGGAGCCCCTAGTAGCTTTATTGTTCCTAATAGCTTCTTGCTAC